ATCGACGCTTTCAAAAAATACAAAACAGCTGTTTTGTATTTTTGTATTTCAATATGATGACGTGTCCCCTAAAATTAAAATGTTTTGCAGTGGATGAGAATAGACAATTTATTTGAGTACCTATTAGCTATGTTAATATACAAGATCTTAAAGTCTTCTAGCTAAGCTAGTTAAGCTAGATCAGCTAGTTTTTCGTTGTGAAACCCATAACGTAAATATTAGGGAGAATACGCTAACTGTGCTTCAATACAGATCTGCTCTTTACGAGCGGAGTTTACCTATAATGCGGCACAAACTTTTAATCGGCATAGACGCTTCTTTGCCTTATCATTTTTAAAACTATTTCGGAAGAACATTAAAGGCGTATTATTAGATAAAAGTTCCAATTGGGTTTTTCGTCTTTCAATTGATCACATAATTATTTCTATATTTACCTACTTTCTTTTTCTTTTGTGTATATTTTATTCTTTCATTACTACTTACACATTGTGTTGTGACAAAGGTGTATAGTATATAGATTGATTGTGTTTGGTTAATGTTGATTAGCTGACTTAGTCAGCTTAACTTCGGCCTTTGAGAATTTAGTATTTTATACTGTGTATTATGTATATAATGTATTTCAATTCTCAATAAAGAATGTTATTATTATTATTATTATTATTATTATTATTATTATTATTATTATTATACCTTAAAACGAACTATACCACTTGCTGTTATCGCATTCATTCTCTGTAATAACAAATTTTGAAATTGATACTTTTAGTTTTGAAAACTGCGTGGAAGGAGAGCAATAATATCGTATTAAAAAAAATGCACCACTACCTGCGCTGTTTCAGTTAATGTCGTTTATTTTTGCTTCAAACATCGTTAAAAGTGGAGAAGGTTGTCGCAAAATTATAAACGTAACAATCCAAATTTCTACGACAACCATATAGTTTCGCAAAGTTTTAATTAACTGTCTAATTTCTACGAAACTAGTGTTATTTCCGCCATATTCACTGAAAGTAAACGCTATCGTAAAAAAGCTAATGTCGTCACGAAACCGGAACAATCTAAAACTAAGCTCTCGACTCCGTGCATCTGGAAACGGCTGGTGTGTACTTTTATTACGGGACGTTATATGGCTCATCTAATACGATGCAACTGAAATGGCTCGAAATAGAACCTGAGCCAATCGAAAAAGTGACCCACTTCGAAGCAATCCCATTATGCACATAAGAAATGTAATCCGATGTAAATACCACGTCGACATGCTTTTTGCAGTTTGTTGATTGTGAGATAGGGCATTTACCGCCCTTAATGAATTATCAATAATACATATATTAAGGCTGTATAAGCCATTTACAAAATTTCTGTCGTTGTTATGCCGAAATACTATAGACGCCATGGATATTTTCGTACAGAAGGGATTTTTTTTCCGCGCATGCCTCTACATTTCGCCAACTTACCTGCACTTTGCTCCATCTTATTTCTAAACAGTGAGTTCGACACTCTTAACTCGGTTTCCCAGAACATTTAACTAGATTTGGACATATCTTAAAAAAATACTGCCTTAAAAATGCCGCATTCACATTTATTGAAGATTTGGCAGCTGCCATGTTGAATGTTGTTGATTGTTTTAATCTCGCGCATATGCATGTTCAATGAACTTTCACTTTTTTTTATAGTTGGTTCATAAGTTCCTGTGTTATCGGCATAGACAGGGTCTCTATATCTCTCCTATCTATATGCTAAATACGTGTGGGGGGTTTCGATAACTCCAAAAAGGCTTAACACATTTTAATGTGCTCTTCCTACAGTAGAAATTGTGATGAGTAAGGCGATTGCGATTGCTTCCTGCTCTGCCAAAAAATGAATTCAACGACATGACATTTTAAACGTATCAATCCAGTAAAAACCGCATCTCAATATCTTTACCCTAACCTAAAATGTAAATAAAAGTACTTAAATTTAAAACAATTTTAATTGTGGGAAGGATTTCCATCACGGGCTATTATTGGTGCGTAATTATGTCTAATTTAAAAAATTAAACGGTACTTTCTTTAGTTAAAGTTAAAATCGAAATAAAATTTCATTATTTATATTTTTTTTACGTAACCTTGGAAAGCCACAAAGTTACCCAATAGTATGACATTATTTATAGCTGTATCACTTATTTTTTCATTAAAAATTTGATTTATTCACTAATTAATTGTTGAAGTCTCTCTAATATTACTAATTATCGGCTGTTTTTTTATTTCTAGAACATTCCGTTTCCCTAATACCGTCCTTACCCCGGTACATGTGAAAAAAAATACTATCTACTTCTACAAAGTTTAGTACTGAGGTAATGTTTCGACCACTTAAGTTGCCTTCACGAGCTTATTATCTATGCGCTAGAAATGGTAGAAAAAATTACACAATCCTTGAATGTTAGGTGCTGCATGCCACTCGTTTGTTGAGTTGCACATGTAACTTGAGAAACTATATTACTATTCGGTGAGTGATGTTAACACAACACACTTGTACCATACTGATCGTTTTCTTCATTTTTCATAGATAAGCAAATATTAAATGGTGGTCGCAGTTGCAGTTTTTAACAGGAAAACTGACATACTTATTCATTTATTTACTTTCTTAGTTATTTTGAAAATTGCCAATGACTATTTATTTGAGTTACATGCAGGACGTACTTCAATTATTCAGTTCAATTCAATAACAGTTTGATATTTGGACTTAAATAGTATATTTCACTTGTTGTCTTTCTCGATCCGTACTCTTTCTAAGCAGACTCCTATGCGTCGAAGACTCAAACTGACCAAACTAACCAAAACTTGCAGCGTTTCAACTAACACTCTTAAGAGCTATTTCGATTCGACCCGATTCTCGTTTGCCAATATCGAATAACAAAAAAATAAAACGATCAAACTTGGCGGCTTCGTTTAAACTCCCAACAAAAAAGCAGCGAAATAAAAAAATTCCGCCAATTTTCTCTGGAAATATCGTGATATTCAATTCATTAGTTTCCTCGCAAGCATTTCTCCAACGAAACGCCTTATTGGAGAAATGTAAACGAAATTGCAATGCCACTTGCCGCTACACCGAAATTTTCCACCTAGTCCGCCCGCTTACAAGAATATTAAAGTTTAAACTACGTTTAATATTTTTGGAGAAATCTACCTAAAAGCACCACACTCACTGCAAAAGCAGTAATTTTTTTATTTTCATCGTAACATTGCATTGTTTTAAAGAACACAAAATATACAAAGCGTTTTTTAGTGGGTTGTGAATATTTACTGAAAACTTAGGGTGGTTTAAATATGCTCCACAGATGATCCCATTTAAGCAACCAATAAAGATCGCATTGTTCAATTGAAATTTGTTTATTTTAGCTTTCAAAGTGGCGTACGTTAATGATTTGAAACACCAAATTTATTCATTGTAATGAAAGGCGGAGTTTACATTTTCCTCTTACCGTAATGAGTAACCAGAACTAACCTTAACCTTATTTTTTATGCATTTGTGAGACATCCGGTACACATGTAAATTATTTAATGTGTTACAACTCATTAACATGTGCAACTTTTTTATAATTCATTATTCCTATATGTTTACTCTATTTTTATTATATCCGTCAAGATTTTTGTGTAAACGATTTCTCTTATATTGAACTTGAAATATTATAAGTTTTAAAATTTTGATTTTGAAATTTTGTGATCAAATTTTAAATGGCTTAGGCGATTTTGAATAAAATGATGCCGAATAGTATCCAGTTATATTTAGGTCAGTATTTTGCTTATAGCTTTCGAATGGATTTCGCATAATTTAGCCTGCTTTAGAAATCGGAGATGATCCTCGTAAAGTTTTTGGAATATCAGACTTAAAATTAAAACTAAATATGCCCATGCCTAAAACGAATATAAAAGCCGGCTCATTTTACGTTATTGGCGTTCGGTTTTAATGGCTGAGGGTTTAATTTATTCGGAGTTTTGACTTGTTCTATTCCATGGTCTATTCCTGTTATTCAAATCTGCTTAAAAATAGTAGATATGATTACCTTAATTTCACTTTAATTACCGCGATGCAAAAGGGAAAGATGAGTTAATAACAAAAATTAGTTTGTATGAAATGTTCAAATTTCATCTTATATTGGATATACTTTAAACTACAACCTTGAAATTAATTACTAAAGTTATCTATGAATTTGGGTAAATTTTAACCTGTTTTCAAGCACTCTTAAATTAGAATAGAGTGGAAAAGGTGCATTTTAAAAAACCTCTGTAACTTTTTTGGTATGGAAAATTTTCTATTTCTATGAAAATATCTGCAAAGCACCTATTTACTTTGAATTTAATGGTTTAAGTTAGGTTCTTTAGTAGTCGAGAAAAAACAAAACTGCTCGGCATCATCTGCCACCAATAGACCAATAGAAATAGAGAACAGTACAACAGATTGGATAAACGCCATTTCTGTTAGGAGTTTGATTTGGAACGAGCGGAGTGCCACGGAGAAAACAAAAGAAGTTTTTACGACCATTGGGTATATTTTTGCAATACGGCACCAGTAAATTCACTTGCGGCCTGCTCCACGATTGATCTGTGCGTAATTGGGTATTTCAAAGTATGGAATAGAAAGAAATACGACAAAAAATAGCATGGTGGTGAAACAAGTGTGGATGAAGTCACATTTGCTATAAAAAAAGGAAGTAGTTATATATTTCTTTTTTTTTGTTGATGTAAGCCTAGAGCAGTTGGTACATTGTAACGTTGTTTAAATCTTATAATTAATAATAATAAGAATTAATAATCCCATAACAGTCGTATAAATTATCCTTATAATTTATAGGTTTCTCACATCACGACGCAGTTTTCAACGGGACATTCTGTAGACGCCATTTTAGAAATATTTTCCAGATTGAGCTGCGAGTTCGTCTTCTTTAATTTTAAACTCACTTTAGAATAATAAATAAAAATTTGCGAAAACAGCTCCGTTCAATTTCGTTATGTTTTTTTTTTCAGATTGCTTCGTTGTAGTCTGATACCTCGCGTCAGCAACTCCAGCATTTTTGATCTTCAGAGACCACAAAGAGTAATAATTCAAAGGCGCAACAAAGCAAATAGCGACAGAGGAAAAAAAAGCTAGAGGAGCGGCAAAAAAGGGCGGTAATCGGGACCGCGAATGGGCCATTCCAGTCAGAAAATTTAATTACACTCATAAAAGAGTATTTATATGGGAAGGAACCATAACAATAGTGTGGTTGTGTTGTCGCCGGCCAGCGCCGCAGTTCTCCCTTGATATCGTTGTTGACATAAAAAAGGGACCGCTTTTAATGAAGCCATTGTATTATCTGATGTTGACGGTGCTTCTAAAAGGTATAGTGCTATCATTAGTTTTGTGCTTTATGGGTCGAATCTTGGTTTTGCGACTTTTACGTTTGCACGCTGTCCCAAATTCGAAAAACGTTTCATAATTGATAAAAGTTTGAATTTGTTGTTCATCGTGCCTCCAGAAGGGTTTATGGGATAAAAGTATACACAGCAGATACGACTTCTAAACTATTTATTTACTGCGATTAAAAGAGCACACTCGGAAGGTTTCTAGTCAACGACTAACTCTTCTAAAAATCTCAAAGTATTAAGACGCTTAAGAAAACATTTAAGCCATAGAGGCGGTCAATAAACTCTTATAATAGTTTCATTCAAGCCTACCACGAAATGCCTTCGTGCTATTTAATATAAACATACATATATAGGCGAAGTTCAATCACCGATGAATGTTAACATTAATTTTTGTAAATATTCCAGTACCTCCTTTTTTAACTTTTGGGTAGTAAATAGAAAGCTACAGAGCGAATGGAAACATTCATAAATCGTAGAACCTACAAATTCACTGTTCACTGCAGGGCATCTTAAGAACCATTCAAGATATAGTTTGGTATTCGACTAGTAAACTTTTTAGGCGACCGTTGAGCATTATTCTTAATGCCTGGCGGTTACAAAAGTGCCCAAAGCTACATGACAAAATAATAAATTATATAGATGGATAAATTTTATGCATAGCGAAAAGTCTACAGATTAAAAAATTAACAAACAAGACTCTATAATGACCGGGAAATGTGAAAAGTTATCGTAAAGTGATGTAAATTTTAATGCTCTGACCTGAGCAATCAGATTTATTTCATGTGTATTTTGCAGACATTGTGATATACCGTTGAAAAAAATGCAGGGTATTATAAATTATGTGATAGAATATGCTGATGAAATGCTAGCTTCAGTATTCCCAGTATCTGCGACGCGACGCTTGCATAAAAACTTTATATATATAACAACTTTGTACTTTGCGTCCAGTTCTCCTTGTAGCGGGTTAAATAAAACCTCGTAGTTCTATTTGTAAAATAAAAAGTGTTTTTTTAAAAACGAGATCCTTCGTTAGAAAACCTTAACTGGCGCAGTCGGTAGGATTTGGGGTAGTTTTCGGTCAAAGCCACGTCATCGGGACGATTTGATTGCGAAACGTGGGTTTCAACCCTTAAACTCCAAAACGAACCTGTGATAGACTGTCTGACAAACCCAACGTGATTGAGTTCGACTGAGGGCAAGGAAGGCAAGAAATCATCCCCGCAAGCAGTGCTACACAAGGAAAATTCCAATAGGAAGAATAGGCTGACGACTAAGAGAAATCAAGGTTAGTGCCCAAAATTCCTATTGTTCTCCTTTCATCTTCCCTGGTTAGGACGGTGGAAATAATTTAAGGATTCTTAGTTTTAAGTTCAATTTTAAGAAATTTCAAAATCAATTAAATTTATGAACGAAGATAAAGACGTCGACAATTTAAGTGCGTTTTTTACTTCGTTAAATTTAGTGGAACAGAAAGTAGAGAACAGTCAAATCAATTTGAAAATGAATTCTAATCAATCGTCGAATTCAGGTGTAAATTACACTTTGTTAAAAATGTTTATAGATAGTATTCTGCCATATAATGGTGATTCCAACACTTTAAATAGTTTTCTATCAGCTGGAGATTTCCTTTTTGATACATATGGTCAAGGAAACGACGAAATTTTAAAACAATATTTGTTAAGAACTATAAGAATGAAACTTGTTGATCGCGCACAAATTCTAGTAGGCTGTAGAATGGAGTTAGTAACGTGGGACAATATTAAAGTAGCTTTGTTAAATTGTTTTGGCGATAGACGAAATTTAGAATGTTTAGAACAGGATTTGTTTATCGCCACCCCCTTTAAAAATGAACATCCTTTAGATTTTGGGAAAAGATTACAAGTTTTAAGAAGTATCCTTGCTCAAAAAATTAATGCATTTCCTGCCGATACTATGGATAATGCAAGCAAAGTAATTCATTTACGTCAATACGATCAAATTTGTTTAAGGACGTTTATTAGAGGATTACCAGGACAATTACAAAGTATTATAAGACTTAAAAATCCGAGCTGTATAGAATTAGCTATGACCCAAATTATTGAAGAGGAAAATTTTCAATATACACAAAATATCTTCAGAACTCCAATTCAATCGAAAGTTTTGCCTAATACTTCTATCGAACCCGTTAAACAATTTTCACAAAATCCAAATTATTTTAGTAACCAAAATTTTAATTATGTACAACCGATTCGCCCTACAAATTATTTTCAAAACAACAATCACCATAATCAAAATTTTAGAATTAGGCATGATCAAAATCAGTTTACTCCCCAGACTAATAGTTTTCCCAGAGGTCCAATTAATATGCCTCAACCACGCGAAGTTCCAAGAAATTTTCCTACAAATAGGCAAGTTTTTGGCCCACCTAAAAACGTATTTAAACCGACAGGTCAGATACCTAACAATAAACCCGAACCTATGTCAACAAGAACAAACTATACTATACCACGTCAAAATAATCAAATTAACCATTTCAAACCTACTGGCCCTAGAAATTTTATTTCGCAAGAATTATACCAAATCGACGAAAGTAACGCGGTACAAACAGATGAAACATCTGCGGTATTTCAAAATGAAAATATTCACCAAGACGAATACTCTGAAATTGAATTTTCAAATCAAACTGAATACTTTAATGACACCCAAAATTTTGACGAACACCCTGAAATTGAAAATCAAATCTCTCAAAATTTTACAATAACGAGCCAATGCGACTCAACGAAATGACATTAGAAATGTATACCGAAATTAATAATAGTTTACCGTACATCCAGATTAAAGAACCCGCAATTAAACTTTTAATTGATACTGGTTGTTTTCACTCGATTCTTCGACCTTCCATTGCAGAAAAATTTTATTGTGAAAAAATATATCATTCCCCCACTATTATTAAAACAGGAACTGGTGAAAAGGAAACTTTATTTAAAGCAGATATTCCGGCTTTCCCAGAATTAAAGGCTAATACCAACCTATCTTTTATTCTTTTTGACTTTCATAAATTCTTTGACGGTATAATAGGATTAAACGACCTAAAACGTTTTAATTTTTCTATCGATCTTGTCAATAAACAATTAAGGAATAATACAACTAATATACCAATTTTATTTAGACAACCACAAAACGAAATATATTGTATTACTGTGAATGCACACGAAATTGTTAACGTAAGAATTCCAGTAACACAAAACAATGATGTTATTATTCCCGAGCAAGTCATTGAAGGTCTCTATTTTCCAGAAACACTTACTACTGCAAAAAACGGTTTTGCGCAAACAGCAGTTTTTAATTACACTGAGAAAAATATAACGTTAAATTTCCCACAACCTCTAAAAGTTTTATCTTTTCCGGACTTTCATAAAGAAAATTTTGAACTTTTTAATTTAGAACACATCTTACCAAAACATAAAGAACAATTTAGTAAATGCGACATTTCCAAAATAATTCGTTGCGAACATTTAAATTTAGAAGAAAAATCTGCTATAATAAGGCTTTGTAAAGAATATAACGATATTTTCCATCATGAAAACAAAAAGTTAACGTTCACCAATAAAATCAAACATTGTATAAGAACAACGGATGAATTGCCTGTATACACTAAATCATATAGATACCCCTTTATCCATAAAGAGGAAGTTCAACGGCAAATTAATAAAATGTTAGACGACAGAATCATTAGACACAGCCAAAGCCCTTGGAGCAGCCCCATTTGGGTAGTCTCGAAGAAACCTGACGCCAGCGGCAAGCAAAAATGGAGGATTGTTTGTGACTTTCGTAAGGTAAATGAGAAAACGATAGACGACCGCTATCCATTGCCTAATATAAATGATATACTCGATAAATTGGGAAGGTGTAATTATTTTTCAACTATCGATCTTTCATCTGGTTTTCATCAGATCGAAATGGATCCGGAATCAATTGAAAAAACAGCTTTTAGTGTCGAGAATGGTCATTTTGAGTTTGTTAGAATGCCTTTTGGATTGAAAAACGCCCCCGCGACATTCCAGCGCGTCATGGATAATGTTTTGCGTGATGTACAGGGAAAGGTTTGTCTAATATACATGGACGATATCATAGTATTTTCATCATCCCTAGAAGAACACATCAAACATCTTAAACTTGTTTTCCAAAAACTGCGACAAACTAGACTAAAAATTCAACTAGATAAAACGGAATTCCTACGAACCGAAGTAGAATTTTTGGGTCACATAATAACAAAAAACGGAATTAAACCGAATCCCAAGAAAATTATTGCAATCCAGAAATTTCCTGTACCGAAAACAGCAAAAGACATAAAATCTTTTCTAGGCCTTCTAGGATACTATAGAAGATTTATTAACGGATTTGCAAAACTCACCAAGCCATTCACAAATTGCCTTAAGAAAGGAGCGACCATCAAACACACGCCAGAATTTCTAGAAGCATTCGATCTCTGTAAAAATATCTTGTGCAATGATCCAATACTACAATATCCAGATTTCGAAAAACCTTTTATATTGACAACAGACGCCTCTAATGTTTCTATAGGAGCGGTTCTCAGCCAAGGAAAAATTGGTAGTGATCTTCCCATAGCCTTTGCCTCTAGGACATTGAACCCGGCTGAAAGCAATTACTCAACCATAGAGAAAGAATTATTAGCAATCGTGTGGTCAACAAAATATTTCCGACCATATTTATTTGGCCGAAAATTTGTGATAGTTACCGATCACAAACCTCTACAATACCTGTTTAATATGAAAGAACCAAATTCCAGATTGCTAAGATGGCGACTAAAACTGGAAGAGTTTGATTACACAGTTCATTATAAGAAGGGCAAACTGAACACTAACGCTGATGCCCTATCACGCATCGAACTAAATATGATAGATAAAGAGTCACTTTTCGGAAATCCTGGAGATATTAATGAAGATATCGATAAATACATACATGAAGAAGAT